GTGTAGTTGATTTTAGTGTTTAGAGTTTGATCACATAGAAGTGTGCAGTTTATTTTAGTGTGTAGAGTTTGGTCACATAGAACAGTGTGTAGTTTATTTTAGTGTGTAGAGTTTGGTCACATCAGTGAGGTTTTTGTAACGGAATTTTAAAGATAAATAGGGATGCTTTGGAAGCGTTGAAATATGCAAATCCTATATCAGTCTTACCTATAAAGATATGGTGTGTCTAAATGTCCATTAATATCAAGAATAAATTTTAGGAACAATGACAGAGGATAATGCTCCTTGTCTCAGTACATATATGACTCATGTTAGGCTCCACAGTAACAATATTAATGTCTGAGGAAGACCCAGACCAATGTATTGTTCCAACAGGATAATCCTTCTCACAGTACACATATGACCCATGCTTGGTTCCACAGTAACAATGTCAATGTCTGAGAAGGGCCCAGTCAGAGACCAAATATTATTGTAAGTCTTTTGGAACATTTTGAGACCATCTAAGAGTTTGAATATAGCTTTGCAATCATCATAACCTTGGTCTTGCCTTTCAAATGACAAAGGAGACAAATAGCTCCATTAACCTATGGAACCTCACTGGAAAAATTCCTCACAGCAATTATTGAAGCAAGTGTACGTTTAATATACTCGAGTCACAGAAAATAAATTTCGTTTAACTGATATCGATCTCGAAGAGATTGGGTAATGATAAGCAGAGCTTCAGAAACTTTTGTCTTTGCTTGCTAGATTATATTATAGATAAGGAAATCGTATCTAATCTCCTCTTTAGGATTAACGAGCTAATTAAACTTACATCAAGCATGTGGATCAGCTAAGGGATTGTGTGATTTTCTTCCACGTGCATGGATATATATATATATATATATATAATATCCCCGTGTATTAACGAGTTAATTAAACCTTATTTATATCAAAGATGTGGATGAGCTGAAGGAATGGGTGATTTTCTTCCACGTGCATCGATATATATGTCCCTGTGTATTAACGAGCTAATTAAACTTATATCAAGCATGTGGATGAGCTGAGGGAATGAGTGATTTTCTTCCACGTGCATGGATATATATGTCCCCGTGTACTAACGAGCTAATTAAACTTATATCAAACATGTGGATGAGCTGAGGGAATGAGTGATTTTCTTCCACGTGCATGGATATATATGTCCCCGTGTATTAACGAGCTAATTATATTTATATCAAGCATGTGGATGAGCTGAGGGAATGAGTGATTTTCTTCCACGTGCATGGATATATATATATATGTCCCCATGTATCAACGAGATAATTAAGCTTTATATCAAGGATGTGGATCACCTGAGGGAATGAGTAATTTTCTTCCACGTGCATGGAAGTTAACAAGAGAAATCTATAAAATACACGGGGACATATATATCCATGCACGTGGAAGAGAATCACTCATTCCCTCAGCTCATCCACATGCTTGATATAAGTTTAATTAGCTCGTTAATAAACGGGGAATATATGTCCATGCACGTGGAAGAGAATCACTCATTCCCTCAGCTGATCCACATGCTTGATATAAGGCTTAATTAGCTTGTTAATACACGGGGACATATATATCCATGCACGTGTAAGAGAATCACTCATTCCCTCAGGTGATCCACATGCTTGATATAAAGCTTAATTAGCTCGTTAATACACGGGGACATATATATCCATGCACGTGGAAGAGAATCACTCATTCCCTCAGGTGATCCACATGCTTGATATAAAGCTTAATTAGCTAGTTGATACATGGGGACATATATACATTGGTGAAGGGATTCCATTTCGGGTTATAAGGATTGTGTGAGTACCTTTTTCACTACCATCATTATTGGAAACAACATTGAGTTAATTGAAAAACATTTCAAAATAGCTGTTCTTGTAAGAACTAAAACATTCCGTAAGAATCAGTTGTTATTGTGTTTTTTCCATGCAAGGCTCCACAATGGTCTGTCAACCGCGAAGTATTGAACCCCAGATTTTAGCGTTGTAAATCCATAAACTTACCGCTGACGTACAGGGGGACCGTAAGAAGCAGAAACTGAAACTTACCCCTTCTCAACATTTCATTCCTAAACTCATTAGTTAGGATTTATATCGTTTTCTTGGAATAGAATATCAACAATTCTTGAATGGATAAATTTAGTTAGTACTCAATATCTTTTATTACAATTTAAAATTAGATATTACCTACTTTTCTAAATGAAAAACTCTTTATTAAAGCTTCAGTTCAATACATTAAAAATGAAACTACATTACCAATGCAGTCACTTTTATAGGGATCAACATTTATTTATTTCAACCATGGTCGTGATCCAACACACTTAAACTAATTGCGTCTACCGCTAACAAAGTTTCGTTTCAAATTCATTCTAGTCTCTCTGGAAAAAGATATCCCAGTGGCTCAGCGGTAAATAAGCCTGAAGGCTTAAGTCAGTTGGAATTTTCAATACTGTTGCCAATTCAGGTTTATCTTGTAGGAATAGTGTATGCCGAAACGTTTAAAACGAACGGCTTTTTTCATCTGCAGTTTGTGGGAATACTTTAATGATGGCACCGGACCTTCACTTTGAACTTACATTTTTTAATTCACTTTTTCACTTCCATGTGAAAGTTTGGGAAATTCATGCCACCATGAAGAAAGGGTATTTCCCTTCAAACTTCTCAAATATTACCATTTTCAAGCTTCGGATAAACAATGGAATATTTAGAGAGTTGTTTATCTATAAAAATAGCAGTTAAAAAATAAATTTAAAACAATTGGTTTCCGATTGCCGTCAAGAGGGAAGCTTGTTTTCACTCATCAGAGAGCTGGCTGGTAGATGTCGCTATATGTGTTTGGATTGTTCTACAGTTTGACTGTTAGATGTCGCTATATATGTCTGGATTGTTCCACAGTTTGACTGTTAGATGTCGCTATATATATATGGATTGTTCTACAGTTTGACTGTTAGATGTCGCTATATATGTCTGGATTGTTCTACAGTTTGACTGTTAGATGTCGCTATATATGTCTGGATTGTTCTACAGTTTGACTGTTAGATGTCACTATATATGTCTGGATTGTTCTACAGTTGGACTATTAGATGTCACTATATATGTCTGGAGTGTTCTACAATTTGATTGTTAGATGTCACTATATATGTCTGGATTGTTCCAGAGTTTGACTGTTAGATGTCACTATATATGTCTGGATTGTTCTACAGTTTGACTGTTAGTGTCGCTATATGTGTTCGGACTTTTTTCTACAGCTTGGCTGGTTGATGTTGCAATTTATGTTTGTGCTGTCCTACAGCTTGGCTAGTAGATGTCGCCATATGTGCTTAGACTGTTCGATAGCTTGACTGGTAGATGTCGCTATATCTGTTTGAATTTCATTATTGGTAGAACAAGAATGAATCAAATAATAGGTTGAACAATTGTCAAGTTTTAAAAATATAAAAAACTTCGCGATTATTAGGCTTATTATTTGATTTGGTTATTTTCGTCGCTCATGCGGTTTTAAGTATATTTGTTTTATTATAGAACACAACTGAGCAGTAACAGAAGTACTGTAACTAACAATCATGTAGCAGTATTTTATTTGCAAGTTCAGATTTGCATTGAACGAGTGTAGAGTGTTTACATTGGGGAAACGAAGCATTTTGGTTATATTTTATACAAACCTAAAGCAAATCAAAAGCTAATCAAACCTCCATCATATTAAAAGTTATAAAACATGCTTACGTTATGTAAAGTTATTTAAAGTAATCAATAAAAAATCGAACAAGTGATAAAGTACATCAGCTAAACACAGAAACAAAAAAAGTAATCAATAAAATACCGAAAAGTGATAAAGTACATCAGCTAAACACAGAAACAAAAATTAGCAGTTGTGTGTAAACTATGCATTTAGACTATGACTTTTTTATTTAGATACAATACCCATAAAAATATTTGTTCAAATAAGCCAGCTATCATATGTTGAAACGCGCACCTTTTTTTACCTTAGCCATATAGATATAGACCAAAGTGACCCGATTTGCAGGAACATTTCACTATGACTGTTCCTCTAGCGAATCACATGACATTATATGAAGCTGAACAAGGAATGACATATATTATCTATTAAGATAATTTTCAGTATTATAAATGACGATAAGCAGAGTTTTTATTTCGTGTCTTTTCCTGGGTATTCTTTTGAGCCCATAGTTACATAGTATAAATAAGTACATTATTTTCAGCTCAAGTAGTTTTGTGCTTACAAGGAACTTAGTTTGGAAATGCAGAAATTCGTTTGTTATAACCAAAATACTATAACTGGGAAAAATACTGCTTGATTTTTTTATCCGTAGTTTGTGATCAGTCTCTAAATAAATATAGTTAATTCGTGTGGTCACAAAAAATATCAGCGGTACCGTATATAAGTCTTTTCTGTAGAAAACAAACTGAGACACGAGTAGAACAAGGTCAAACATTAATTGTACACCTCTAAACTTCCACCTAGACTTGGCAGAATGTGACTTTCGCCTAGGGATTGACAGAGCTATGGCTTTGAAGATTGTGACTTTTACTTAGGACTTAACAGAATAATATATTCACTTAGAGCTTTGCAGAGTGTGGCTTTTATCTAAGGCTTAGCAGAATGTGACTTTTAACTAAGATTCAGGAGAGCATGGGTCTAACTTAAGGTTTGGAAGAATGTGACTGTTACTTAGAGCTTGGCAGAGTTTAACTCTTGCACAGGGGTTAATAGAATGTGACCTTTACCTAGAGCTTATCAGAATGTGACTCATTCCTTCCATTTCGGAGAAAAATATAACTATAGAATTGCTCAGGGGTCACCTTCTTGAAGGTAAATGAGCTAACTGTGATATGACCACCGCGAGTATCAAAATCCAAATGTTGTCTTTTATATACCCATACTGTTGAGTCACAATGAGGGTCGACCAAAGGTAAGTAGAATTACAGGTTCTAGATAAAAGATGATACCTTTACTAGAATTAGAATTTTTTTTTAGTCAGAGAGCAGTGTTCTTTTGATTGGGTGAAGAACAAAAGTATACTGTTTGTCTGTAAAGGAGAAACCTTGTAAAATAGAGGCAAAATATTTTGTATAGATGCCTAAAAAATCACGGAAACAAACAAACTATATTAAGTAGACATAAAGATTTAGTTCGGATTTTTAGGAATGTGTTTGTTGTATGAAAAATAGTACATGAATCGGTCTTGCGGAAAAAAAATATATAATTCTATAAACATAATTATGTTAGATTTTAATAACGTATTTCCAATATATTGATAACTTTCAAATTAATTAATTATGGGTTTTCATTTCGTGTATTTTCCCACATATTTGTTATACAATGGACATCATTTTTCAAGCATAAACGACTGGCCAATAGACGACGTTAAAAAGAAGGAAGAGGATAGGGAAGACGATGCGAGATACCATGTCAGCCTTACTTGCGTTTTGGCTAAATAGACGCCCAACTACCACTGGGATAAACTTAATCCTGTTCTTATTCTTTTCTTGGCCATCTTTAGCGGTCTAATAAAAAAAATACATAAGAACAACATTGAACAGTACAGAAATTCAACATTTATCATGGTTAAAACAATATATGCGTGTTCTATCTCGAATCAAGTTAACAAGTTGCATATAAACATTATATATTATTATTATTAATTTCTTAAATAATTTATGGCTGTAGATATCGGAAGTTTTTACCAGCGAATTCCCAACACATCATAGTAATTTTCAGTATTTATCATATGGATAACGATAAACCGAAACTGATAAAAATAAAGTAAGAAATACAGAGTCGACATTCCTTAGGCAAAGCTCAGCTTTAAAGTAGACTAAATTACATTAATAGAATAAAACACCTGATGTTCAGTCCATGTGTTTTATAAAAAAATGTTTTTATAACTTATATTGTTGGAAACAATTTACGTTTTCCATGTTTGTTTTTATCTGCACTATGTCAGTTGTCGATACCTTGAGCCACTGGCGGATTGATATGTGATTATTAACAACCAACGTTTATTTATGATTGTAACTATAGTGATAAATAGCGAAGGTTTCTTTGACGTTATATTCCTATAACACGTTTGTCGGACTATCTTTATATACAATGTGACCATTAAATTATTATGAGTTTCTGAAACTGCCTCTATAGGGCAAATCATGTAACATATAGGTCAAAGGTTTTGCATACATGCATGAAGGATCTCTGGAGTAGCATTTCACAGGTTTTTGTACACGACATTGAAAGTGTCACTAAAGCCATTGTTTAACGTTGTTATGATCATTCTCAAGTATTGCATATATCCTGAAAATGGTATTAGATATTGCAGCCCATAGCATACCTCGAACAATCAACAAATCTTCGGAAATGTCCAACAAGAATGTGATAATTTGAACATATCCATGCTGTTGAAGTTCTGCTATGACAACAAAAGTATACAACAATTCATAATAACAATGACCAGCCAGTCGCTAAAAATAGCCCAAAATAAAAGAGTATACAACAATTCATAATAACAATGACCAGCCAGTCGTTAAAAATAGCCCAAAATAAAGGAGTATACAACAATTCATAATAACAATGACCAGCCAGTCGTTAAAAATAGCCCAAAATAAAGTGAGTTTTGAAATCGCACCATATGGGAATTATTGAGCAATCCAAAGAACTCTTCAGCTGGAGCTCATGAGTTTTCTTTGTCCAAGAGTAAACACTTATTCTGAAAAATCCAAGGAACTCTTCTACTGTAGCTCATGGTTTTACTTTGTCCAAGAGTAAACACTTATTGTGAAAATTCCAAGGAACTCTTCTACTGGAGCTCATGAGTTTTCTTTGTCCAAGAGTAAACACTTATTGTGAAAAATCCAAGGAACTCTTCTATTGTAGCTCATGAGTTTTCTTTGTCCAAGAGTAAACACTTATTGTGAAAAATCCAAGGAACTCTTCTACTGGAGCTCATGAGTTTTCTTTGTCCAAGAGTAAACACTTATTGTGAAAAATCCAAGAAACTCTTCTACTGTAGCTCATGAGTTTTATTTGTCCAATAGTATGCACTTATTGTGACAAATCCAAGAAATTCTTCTACTGGAGATCGTGGGTTTTCTTTGTCCAAGGGTATACACTTGTTTAAAAGTGAAATTGGATATTTCTATCCCTAATATGCGCCATAAGCAGTTTCTATCATGTATAACACTCACTACTAAATCTAATGTAAACGTTCTTCTGGATTTCTAATCAAGCACTTCAACTTCTTTACTTTGTATACAGTGCAGGAGAATATATGGATGGACAACCTTTGTGAAGTACTTCTAAAACAAGATTTACTAATATCTGTGGAACATAGGATGATCGACCATACTTCCTGTCTCTTGGAACTTTCTAACAAATCTTGTGTTTGTCCTGTGGTGGCATGTCAGGAGTCTTGCTCCATTACTATAGCCAGCTGGGTTATGCAACTTCACCATCATGATCAACTGTCAGTGATTGTACGTTCTATTACTGTATTAGCAACAGAATAACGGCTTTGCTTTTAATCATTTGCTCCGCCCTTTAATGTTATCGAAAACTACTTTTTTAATAGTATACATGGCAAGATAAATATATGGGTGTGTTGGGCTAAGGATTCTTCTACAGTAGGTGTCTGTGACTTGTTGGCGATAAATTCGACAATAAACAAACAGCACGCACTCCATGTGTTTTAAAATAATATGTATATTCGGAACAAATTAAACGTATGTACAAAAAATATTTACACTATGGGGATCATAGTTGTATCTTAAACACTATATAGTTCTCTTTTTCTTGTCAAAATTCCGTTTAGGCCAATTCAATTGCTTTAGAATTTAGTTGACAAGCCGAACTATTTTTCTTTATTTTTATCGCAATAGTATCCATGTATAATTCACTTACGATGTCGCTTGATTTACCGCAGTTGAATCCTGAACTTCCAATAATCGTTTGCTTTTTCGTACTTCCAATAATCATCTGCCTTTTGTCAAAGTCCGCACAGGCGGGTTCAATTAGTTTAGAACTCTCTTCGACAAAACAAATTATTCTCCTTATCTCTTTCAAACTGTTAATCTCACTCTAACATATCAACTGTTAGGGTGTTCACTCCCACGACAGTTGACTTTGCGTTTTTAGCTTTTCTCTAACCGAACTTCTCTTTCACATGACTTTACTTTCTGCTCGTCTGGTTGCAGCTATTTATACGTCTATCACTTAGGCCTTCTAGAAATCTTCATAACCTTGACATCAATGATTGCAAACATAACGTTCGCTAGCCTCGACATCAATGAATTATAAACACAAAATAAATAAATTAATAATACTACCTACACTAAACAATCTTTTATATCTGACATAGTGCCATTTCCGAAAAGCAGTGAAATGCTTTTCCCATTAACTCTGATATATTCTCACAAAATATTTTGCTTATATGTAACACGGTTCATTTTATAAAATCTTTGGAACACCCAAAATTTTCTAACATCCATTATATATAATGTTAAAAGTTAAAAGAGAATCATAGTCTCAAGCTTACCTCAGTGTCACCCAATTCTACTAAGTTAGCCTTTGCACCAGTGTGTTGTAGAACAAACTGGATGATAGCAGCAAGGAAGAAAACGAAGCAGACTCCGTTCCAAACGTCCGAGGCTTTAGTTTCAGGAGATTTTGGAATCATCTCGTCTGCGTGAATAGTGGAAATAACTCCCAAGAAAAGCAACACAGCCAAGTAGAAGGTACGGATACTAACTTTAGAATAGTGGATCCAAAACGACAACCGTGAAAGAACCACCATGAGTAAAGTGCTAAGATAAAGATGACAGAAGTAGGGCCCGAAGTTCCTCTTAAATTCAAATATAACTTTTATGCAACCATAAGTTCCTAAGAAAATCAAAACAACAAAAAACACTCACCATTTAACAAAAGCCTGTAAATTACACATTAAGCATAAAAATAAAGATAATTACACAAATTCCCAATCTTTCTTCATTCTCTTATCAAAATCACTTTTAATGTCAAATTATGATTCTAGATCGTTTTATTCAACAGACGAAAATAAGCAGTTCATAGAACAGAAATGATAATTTTATGACACTTAATTTTATAGCGTTTCATTAAAGAAAATAATGCCTAATAATAAATAATTCAGATTTTTCTATAACTTTTTATTGCTGTTAACTGATATCTAATATAAATCAAGACGTCTGTTTTTTACAAATGTAAATCGTAAAACATTCTTTTTTATTGTCTTGTTTCAAGTTAAGCACAAAGCTACACGATGGGCCATCTGTGCTCTGCCCACCACGGGTACAGAAACCCGGATCCTAGCGTTGTAAGTCCGCAGGCATACCGCTGTGCTACTGGGGGGCATTCTTTATTCCAATCGATTCATTAAAATATTACCATGAGTTCTCATTTTCGTACCTGTTTAACGACTACTGTTGGTTTTAAACTTTTCCTTACTGCCTCTTTTGAAAATAGATGTCTCTGAATAAGACTACACACAGAGTCGAATAGTAGATTAATTCTACTCCTTTTCTGATAATTTTTACTGAAGAAATTGTGTTGGTGTCGTGGAGCTATTGAGGTATTTTAATATTTACAAAAAAGTCTTAAGACTAAAACGTTATTTATTGAGATATTTTGGCTTTACATTTTAAAGTTCGTTTTTTTTTTAATTTTATACTTCATATCCTATTCGCATATTTTATGATCCTTTATTTTTAAATGCTGTTACTATATTGGATTTTTCTTTAAGCAGTGTTTGTAGTTTACAAAAATATCCGGCTGATGGATACGTTAAAGGCCTTTGATTTCTTTGTGCTGTATTCTGAAGGAAAGGACATATTTAAAATTAGAAAAGATAGTTTAACTGTGTGATTATTTTCTGGGGGATTTGCCCTTTCATTAGTAAAAGCTTGCACTTTATAAAAGTTTAGAAAGGAACTGATAATTTCCTAAAAAAATAAAGGGTGTGTTTAATTTTTACTTTTCTTATCATAAGGAATTGGATATGCAGGAACAGCTTTGAAGGCCCTTGTTTGTCTTTGTATTATGCTATGTTAAAAGTATTTATTTTAATCGTTTCTAAAATATTTTAAACCGAAAATTGTGCTGTTTTGATGACTTAATCGTCACTGTTTGCCAATACAAAGTTCTAAAATACTAACTATCAATAAGTTCACATCTCAACCTTCTTTCCTCAAGAGAAAATAAGAAGAGATCTCAAACTATCCCTATACCATAATCCTTTCATTTGTGTGAAATCGTCCCAGTATCCCTTCTCTGAATCCCTTTGCAGTAACTCAGTTTCCTTTCTAGGATAAGGAAACCAAAACTGAGCACATATCTTTCCATGTAAGACCTAATAGCGATTTGTATAGAAAAATAATTACCTCTTCTGACTTGTTGTTGATATGAATAAAAATATACCTTAAAATTCTGCTAGTTTCACTACTAGCAACAGAGCACTGCCCTGATGGCTTGAGTGACTTATCCATCATAATACCAAAACCTTTTTCTTTAGTCATGTTGCTAAATGGTTCATATCTATATTAAAAGTGTTAACCAAATTAATCATTTTGTACTGCTAAAATTAAGGGTCATTAGCCAAATATATATTCAACTTGTTAAATAACCCAAATAATTTTATAATACCTCAAATTCCAAAATAAAACTAGAAGTACAGTTTAATATCATCAACACTGATCCATGAGGAATGCCACTAATAATAAAGGACTCCATCAATAATAATTACCTTTCAGTTCAGTTAATTACTCTTAACTCAACCCTACATTAATATGGTTTTCTTGCATTATCTTTTTGTGGCACCTTAAAAATGTTTTTTGAAACTGATATAACACAAAAACAATAACAGATCGTTTAGTCTTGCACACCCACAATCGATAAAAAGAAAAGTAAATACAAATTAATGTTTATATATTTAATTTCCCAGTTTTCTTATTTGCCATCAAATAATTGATATCTAATTGATTAAGGAAAATTCCATTATTTTCAATAAAATTCTCAGAGAATAGAATATTGCTAACAATCCTTCAAAGTAGAAGAAAAGATCTAAAAACTCAAACATCTGAATTATAACTAAAACAAGATTTTAAGGTTATTTTTGAATGATAAACATAGTGCTCTGTAAACGAAACATTGTAGAGGACAAGGTTGTACTTAAATGAAACAGGACAAATAGCAGAAAGCTTGTTATATAAAACATAACTTTAGATAAGGTTCTAGTTAAATGACTCAAGAAAAATAGTAAGGTTCTTATGTAATGATGGCTTTAAATAAGGTTCTAGTTACATGAGTCAAGAAAAATAGTAAGGTTCTTATTTAATGATGACTTTAGATAAGGTTCTAGTTACATGAGTCAAGAAAAATAGTAAGGTTCTTATGTAATGATGGCTTTAAATAAGGTTCTAGTTAAATGAGTCAAGAAAAATAGTAAGGTTCTTATTTAATGATGGCTTTAAATAAGGTTCTAGTTAAATTATCAAGAAAAATAGTAAGGTTCTTATTTAATGATGCTTTAGATAAGGTTCTAGTTACATGAGTCAAGAAAAATAGTAAGGTTCTTATTTAATGATGGCTTTAAATAAGGTTCTAGTTAAATGAATCAAGAAAGATAGTAAGGTTCTTATTTAATGATGGCTTTAAATAAGGTTCTAGTTACATGAGTCAAGAAAAATAGTAAGGTTTTATTTAATTATGGCTTTAGATAAGGTTCTAGTTACATGGGTCAAGAAAAATAGTAAGGTTCTTATTTAATGATGGCTTTAAATAAGGTTCTAGTTACATGAGTCAAGAAAAATAGTAAGGTTCTTATTTAATGATGGCTTTAAATAATGTTCTAGTTACATGAATCAAGAAAAATAGTAATGTTCTTATTTAATGATGGCTTTAAATAAGATTCTAGTTAAATGAATCAAGAAAAATAGTAAAGTTCTTATTTAATGATGGCTTTAAATAAGGTTCTAGTTACGTGAATCAAGAAAAATAGTAAGGTTCTTATTTAATGATGGCTTTAAATAAGATTCTAGTTAAATGAATCAAGAAAAATAGTAAGGTTCTTATTTAATGATGGCTTTAAATAAGGTTCTAGTTAAATGAATCAAGAAAAATAGTAAGGTTTTTATTTAGATAAAGGGTTTGGTTAAAAAACCTTAAGTATCTGGTATCGAGATTAAAAGTCCAAAGTAACTAAATGGGTATAATTTAATTCAAAAATGAATGATTATAAAAAAACAATTAAACCAAAATAGTTTTCTGTTTATTTATCTTTATATATGTAGTAATATCATTTCGATTAGGTTTAACAGCTTATATTATAGCTCATTGTGAACCTTGAAATGAAATAAAAAACTATAAGAAGTAATGATTTGTGTATTCCTGCTTGTTTTTTGCGTCATATTCAAATCAGTTCTTATTATTAGAGAATTAAAGCTGAAGGATGCTTACCAGTACTCGTTTCTGCAATGCAGTATTCTTGTTTAGTTGACTTGAGAGTGAATCCACGGAAATCCATGTTTGGCCTCAAGGCCACAGGGTTTAAGTTGTTCCACTTTAGAGTGACTTTGTCAGTTGTTGATCCATCTGAAGTTATTTAAAAGATTAATAGAATCTTAGCACTGCCATTTTCTACATTATCGTCAGGATATTTCTGATATAGTTAATGTTAAATATTGTGTTTGTGTTATACCTTCTTCAATTTGTCCGATCGAATACGTTTAGCATTAATTTTGTTACTTCGTCTAATAGAATACGTTTAGTGTTGGTTTTGTTACTTAGCCTAATCGAATACGTTTAATATTGGTTTGTAACCTTATCTGTTTGAATACGTTTAATATTGGTTTTGTAACCTTATCTGTTTGAATACGTTTAATATTGGTTTGTAACCTTATCTGTTTGAATATGTTTAATATTGGTTTTGTAACCTTATCTGTTTAAATACGTTTAATACTGATATTAGTGTTGGTTTTATTCTCTGTTCAATTGAAAACGTTTAATACTAGTTTTTTTTTGTTTTTTTGTTTACATAGTCTGCTTGAATTCATTTAGTATTAGTTTTGTCAGCTAGTTTGCTTTAATATGTTTAGTACTGAATTTGTTACCTGGTCTACTTGAATACAGTAGCTTATACTTGTTTTTCTACAGGGTTGAGTACGTTATATATAAACGATTTTGAATACATAATCAGCAAGTCACGTAAAACCACAGCAGATATAAGATGACGGTGAAATGGCGTGTAATAGAACTAACTACATTTTGACATTGATTGGTGTTTCGTTGGCGGTGTGATACCATAAAAATTTATTGATTTTGGGAAGGAGTTTAATATCCCTTTTCCACGCAAAATATTCATACACTCAGTTCATAAAAATGTACATAGACGGAGAATTTAGAATATCCAAGAAGGGTAAATTTTTTGCAGTTAATTGAATTAGAAACCAAGGAATATGGATTATTTCATGGTGCCCGGACCTTCACGAAAGGGACCTGCAACAAGTCGTGCCATAGCCATGGTAAGCAAAGTGCGACGTCTTGTAACAAAGAATTCATAAACACAGAGGTCATAGGCAAAAGCTTTGCACGTGAATAAGGCAACAATACGCAACATATAATCAAGAAGGATCTCTGTTTGAAAAAGTAAGACAAATTATATGCCAATCTTTTTTCACGACATATTTGTTCAGCTGCTGCTTACCTCAAGCAACTAGAAAAGGAAATTAATGTTCATGCTATTGTATGCAAGATATTCTTCTGAAGTCGTCTAAGACCGTTAAACGATGGACTAGAAAAGCTTTCCGCCTCATACACAAGAAGGATAATGAAATGCTTTAAGAAGGAGTGGTTTGCCTAGGTCATGATAGATTTTTGACGGAGCTTTTTGTTATTGTCAAGATGATTGTTTATTTCTTGCTAAGCACAAACCTATGCTATGGGCTATCAGTGCTGTGCACACCACGGGTATTGAAACTCGGTTTCTAATGCTATAACTTCGCAGACTTAGCGCTGGAGACTTCAAATTGCACGATCATCAGATACAGCATGATCGAACATGGAAACACGGACTATAATGATATGGTGAGGCTCAAAATCGCTTTAATATAAGCACTCAAGCCTCTGAAG